TAATAAAACTTTTTTTGTGTTTAAATAAAAGAACGTAAATTATAAAATGACAATATAAAAGGATTAATTTTGTACAAATTGTCGTAAACTAAATTTTCTCAAAAAAATCCTTACATCGGAAAAAATATTTTTTTCTGCTATTATTTTTTCACATCTCAAATAATTTTATATCTGAAATCTAACTTTATTTTTCTATTTTTTTCTTAAAATCATTTCCGTTTTTAAACCTATCTTTTAAGTTGATGTTATTATATTTCTTTCTTTCCACAATAAACAGAATATTGTGTTGAACTTCATTGAATTTTTGTACGAGTAATCAAGGGTAAAAATGACCGATTTAGTGCTTCATTTTCCACACCATATCATTCTTTACGTATTTCACAAACGGAAGTGTCACAATAGGTTACATGACTTGCGGCCATTTTTAATACTTATATAAGCATTTCACATGGCTTAGCACATCACTGATATTTCTTATATTATTTTTTTATTGTTTGTAATATACAACTGAAATAAATTCCTTTCAAGGATATAATCATGACAATTGGGTGGAAATACTTAAATGTATATCGCTATGAAAAAATAATAATAAGAAAATATTAAAGAGAAATAATATTTCTGAAATCTTACAGTTTTCTAAAAATAGATAAGGATGAAATCTTATAAGTTCTTTATTGTAGCAACAACACAAAAATGTTAATAATGTAAAGATATAATAAATTTTTAGTAAAAAATAATTTTGAAACAAGATATTTTTTAAAGTCCAAACATGTGGCAATATTTTTTATCATAAAAACCCTTATACCTAACAATTTTTCCTTTTTTCTATTTAGAAAAGGGTTGTGCTTAGCGCGGCTTCAAAGCAGCAAGCATCCTTTAACTAAGAATTTCATAATAATATATAAAGAAACTATTTTGTAAGAAGATAAAAATATTTTTATATGACATTGCAAGGTCATTCAAAGCACAAACAACATAATCCTATATTTTTATTTATAAAAATAATTTTCAAATATTTTTATATTTGCTTTAAGCTGAAAATTTCCGTTTCCTTTAAGGCCAAATAAAACAAAAACAACAAAAACAAAAGCAAGAACTTATAATTTATATTTTATTTAATAATTTTTTTTTTTATTTATTTTTTATTTTTCATTACCTATTTAAATTTCTGTTGAACCATAAAATTATTTTAACGCTGTTTATTCTGCAATTTTAAAAGGAAAATGGTAAGCACATTTAAGCGGAAATAATTTTCATTGATTTTTTCTTTTAGTTTTTTTTTTCATTTTCCTTTCTTTTTTTGTTTTTATTGTGTTTCGTTATGAAATGCTCTTTTGCTTATTTGTACCACTTGAAATCGGCCTAAAGAGGATTCATAATTGCACTCCAGTGCTGCCAAAGCACCAACATTTAAGCTCTACTTTTTTCTATTTTGCACAAGTGCACTTCTCCGTGCTGTTGCTATACTCATAGAGGTTTCTGTAGATCACAAAAAATTCTTTACTTAATAATTATTTAGTTTGATGAGTAGATCTACTTAAGGTTTTGCTAAAGCAACCAATTAAAGACCTAAAAACAACAAATACCGTCAAAATTGTAGACATACTACTATATACAAAAGACCAGTACATGCAAAATTATAATAATAGCAAGTAAAGTCGACTAAATAGCTTTTATTTCAATGACATCATTATGTGGTACTCTTAAATATAAGCACTTCATTGGTTAAGCTTATAATAAACGTATTTATACATGAGCGATATGTTGTATATATGTACCTAAAATTATTTTGACTTACTTAAGTATGTATATTTGAATACGTATTTCCTTAAGTAATTCTCTATGCAAATATAATTTAAGCTTAAACACCACAGTTAGTAGTAGAATTCATTTGTATTCATTAATTCACATTTTGTGTTTTATTCTTTATGCTTTCATTCCTATATTCGTGTTTTTTATTTTTTACTGTCTCACAGCCTAAAAATATGCTTCTATTTTTATCATAATCAAGATAACGTACTTTATTAATTTTCTTTACGAGTATTTATGCTAATAATAGATATTTTCTTTATATTTTGAGTTTCAGTTTCGGCTTTCAAAATTAACATTTAATATCTTAGTGCTTCCTCTTCATTAGTTTTGTTTTAAGAAATATATTGGTTTGTTTATTTCATTAAAATTTCATTAAAATTTCATTCATTATCTTATTTTTGTTTATTTTGTTCTGTTTATGTACTTAAAAAGTTGGTGTAAGTTGAAAAGTGAAATTTGAAAGTATTTTCAAGACTTCTCTTCGTAAAGCGGCGAGCACTGAAAGTGATTAAGGGTTAGAAATATTTTGTAAATAAGTATGCCACTGGTTGATGGTTAAACATTGATTAAATATTGCATTACTTTCGCTTAAATTAATATTCATTTGTTGAATTTTTAATTGTTTTTGAAAATTTTGGGTGATTATGTGCACTATTAAATTAGACAATTACTATTGTTACTATTATTATCATTTTTATTAATTAATTAAAACTTTAGTTAACTACGAAGGTTATTTAATTGCAACTTTTATATGCTATTGATGCTGAAACCCTTTTGTCAACTTTGTTATGTAATGCCGTTTTTGTGGTTTAATTATTTCTGTAGCTTATAACATATTTTTCAATATAAATACATATATAAAAAAAAAAGATTTTATATTAATCAGCTAATATTCAATTGCTGTTAGGTTAGATAACATTTAAAGGGCGTGTGCTAATATATATGTTAGTACTTTCTTTAAGATCCATTTATTGCCTATTGTGTTATTGCCTATTGTGAGTTACACCAACAGTTGTAATCTCCTAGTATTGCCATTGTTAAACCATTTGTCAGTATTTTCTTCAAGAGCCGTCTGTTGCTCATTGTGTCATCTAAGTCAACACCAAAAGCTAACTGGGAAAGGTGAGTTACAGCAAATGTTGTTATCTTTTGGCATTGTTACTGTTAAACCATTTAGTCTACCACATAAAACTGAATATTTTTAACGAGTTCTTACCTTTTGTCAGTATAATGAAGAAACTGTTTCGAAGACATTAAAGTTGCTTCTTCTTTAGTCTCGGAAAAAGACATAGAAAATGATTTAGGGACCTATCTTATCTTTATCATGACAACTCTTTATTGGCAACAAAATCCTCTTACTGTCAAAATCTGATCTGATTTATATGAATTTCAGCACCTCTTTTGGATAACTCGTTTGCTATGGCGTTTCCTGTATATTTAAAATCATAGAGAGAGATTTTGTGACTATATATTTGTCTTAGAGTACAAATGTAATTATATTATAAATTTTCAACAAAAATACTTCTCCTATAGGATTAAAAATGTTTATGAGAAAATTTTTACAAAAATTCTTAGTTTGTAAGATATTTTAATTATTTATTTTTCTCAAATTATTATTCTGCTGAAAGAATAAATTTCAATTAATTTAATCCAATTCATTTTCACAGTATAAGGTTTGCAATTTAATGAAGTTGACACTTAAGGCTTTACAGAAGTTCAGTATATCAAAAAGAGACAATGCAAAAACTATGCATAAAGAAATAGTGAAAATTTGCAATAATAACAATGTTGTTTTGTGAAGATTAGAAGTATGATTATATATACAAAATTCTTATAAATGATTAATCAGCATCATCAATTTCGGTACCTTCTATTGGAGCATAGGGTCTAATAACATACTAATAAGTGATAAGTATGTTATAAAAAACTATATATTGCATATGAATTATTGAAAATTAAAATAGTTATTTTTTAATTAATATTACTTATTCTTTATAATTATATAATAATATACTTATTAATTACAATAAGTCTAAAATTATTATAAAGAGACTAAGTCCACAAGACGAGAGAAGTCGCTACGTGCGCGACATTCCAGGTAACCGTCAGGCTAAAAAGCTGCTTTATTCCTATAGTTATGGTAAGGTATCTTTCTTCAGCAGAACAGAGTTGAGGTTGCTGGTGGGATATATAACGGGTCACCATGGCATGCCTTATCACCTTAACAAAGTGGTTCTGTCCGAAAAGATAGATTGTCGACTCTGCTCAAAAGCAAACGAGACTTCCAGTCATATGAAACCAGTCATATGTATGAAATCCAGCCTTGATTTGGGCCAGGAGAAGGTCACTGGGTCGAGAACTATTCTTCTCTTCTGACATTAGGAGTTTCTCAACGATCGAAATGTTTCTGTTCGATTAGGGTTTGTTGCAGCACAAAATAACAATCATGGTCGCAGTGCTCCGCTCCGTTGGGAGCTGGTATTATTTCTATTCCTAAGTCCACAAAGTAATGAGAGGATGTCATAATATATTTTGGAAATATCTTAATATAATATAGTTATGTAATGTAATACAATTATTTTATTGAAAGATTTTTTTTTTAATATTGGAAATATCTATACGTAAAAAGGGCAAAAACATTTATAATAAAATTTGTAACAAAATTGAAAAAGTAACTCAGAATTTGTAAAATTACGGAAAATGACTGCTGTCAAGCTGTGCCGAACAATTTCATTAGCCATTCATAATATCTAAAATCGACATGCAGACAGACAGACGGACAGATATTTTTAGAATGGCAGTAGATACTTTAATCAAACAAGAGCCATTGTAAAAATGCTTTGGAATTGGCTTTCATTCCGAGCTCACAGTTTGGAGCAGCTGTTAACTGCATTTTAACGATTTAGAAGGCTTACGGCTCGGGGCTTATGCGATGTGCGATGTGCGGGTAATTTTACTTTTGTCATTTGATTGTGTTGTGGAAGTCCAATTAAATCATGCCAAAAATAAAGCAGACTTCATTCAAAAGCCAAACTCCAAATAAAAGGAACGTTTATCATAAAACCGATTCGTGCGTCAATACTCAAATTACGAGAGAAAAGGTGGATTTAAATTGAATTTAGGACAAGCCAAGCAGCGGCGCGGCGCTTAAACTTGCACTGTAACAAATAGAAAACCGAAGCACAAATACATAACAGTTATTGTGCCAGCATGTGCACAATAACAGTCCACACACTCACACATAAACCCATACAAATGAGCACATGTGCATTGACACGCGTTGAACGTAAATGAACTTGTCACATGCGATTTCCCGCCATTTTATAAAGCTCTATGTTGTTTTTGTTGCAGTGTGCGTCATGCATCCTCGTATTGCTCGTATTGCTCGTGATAGGCAATACAAGCATTGTATGCTTGTATGTGTGCAACACCCATGAGCTGTGCTTGCATACAAACAGACTAATAAATTTGAGAGTAGTTTAACGCATAGTGCTGGGCTAGAATGGAAACTTAAACTGTGCATATCCACAGTGCGTTTAAGTGTGCGGCTTTGTAGTTGTGGGAATTGTGTAAATAGCAAGGAGCATAGTTTGGTTCCGCACCAGAATAG